ATAGATTCTGCAATTTGATGCAGACAGGTGAACAAAGAAAGCCTCATTTTGTTAATGTGGTATTATTATCCCACTTGCACAAAAGACAATCTGAAGTCATGAAAGAACACATACATAAATTATATGGTATTGTTCAGTCTGGGATTTCTGCTGGGCCAAACAATACCAAATTTAGAAGTCTGGAGTTACAGTAATGATCAGATCCTCTAGTTCTAGAATAAAACATTAGATTCATTAGAACAGTGATGCAACCATCATGACACACAGCCAGCTACTCATTAACATATATTTCTACCAGTACTGAAATAGCTAATGAAGAGAAATATCAAGTAAATAATATGGACAGAACTAGTTATAGGAATGGCACAAGACTCATAAATTAATTAAAACAATGTCTCAAGTGAGAAAATATTTCTTCCCTAATTAAAAACTTTAAAAATGGAGATTTTATGCCAATGAAATTAATTCAGTATTACACAATTCTCTATATACATAATTCTACATGTAAAGCCTTGTATTTCAAACACTGCATATGCAAAAGCCCTTAAAAACCTAAGGTGGAAGCAGTTTAATGTTGTGTGTCAAAATCATGTATTTGTGCAGTCTGAGTAACTTTCTTCCAAATACACAGAATTAAAATGGAAAATAACAAAAGTCACCTACGACCCCTCTACCAGAACTGCTCTGACACAGTAAGAATCACTTTCTGGGATTTCAGCAATGGCCTGGGTGAAACTGAAGGAAGGAGCATCTCACATGTGGGGAGAGGCTGAAAGAGGTGGGACTGGTGAGCCTGGAGAAACTTCAGAGTGGGTCTCATATTGAAAGAGTGAAAAGAAGAGAGAAATGGGTACTTTTCAGTGGTGCCCAGTAACAGGACCAAAGGCAATGGGCACAAACTGAAACACATGAGGTTCCCTTTGAACATTAAGAAATTTTTTTGGTGTGAGAGTGACTGAATATTGGTACTGGTTGCTAAGAGACATTGTGAGATCTCTCACCATCCTTGAAGACACTCAAAAGCCATCTGGACATGGCCCTGAGTCATTCTACATGACCCTACATGAGCAGGGTGATAGACCAGATGACCTCTAGAGGTCCCTTTCAATCTCAAACACTCTGTGGGTCTGTGAGCACAGCTTAAGTATCTAGCCAAAGGTAAAAAAAAAAACCCAAAAAACAAGCTTGCACAAACTCATTAAAATATAGGACAAATTACACAGCTGAAAGCAGAAATTGGAAGCTGAAAATGCACTATCTGGATCACCTTCATCCAAGTGTTCTGAAAGAATGGGAACAGGAGATGAAAGATGCAGCAGAAATGATTTTTAATAAATCTATCAACTCAAAACCAGAAAAAATCCAAGCACAGTGCCTATATTTAAAAGGAGAAAAAGCAATCAAGAGTATGTCAGGTCTATGAATTTGATCAAAAGCCAGTATGCTACTGAGAATAATTATTCTTTCTTGCAAAATTCAAAGACAAAGAAGAAAACAAATGATTATCAAAGAGGATACCACATAGGTTCCACCAGAGTTAGATTGTGCCAAATGTATTTGACATCTTTCTTTGATAAGACCACTAATTTTTATAGATAAAGGAAATGCAGGAAGTTTATATGGACTTTTTGTACTATGTTGTATGGGTATGGACTTTTGATACTGTGCCATATCAGTTAAGATAAAAAAGATGGGAAAGGAACCAAGTATGTTGATGGCAGAGATTAACAGTGGTCTACACTGAATGGAAAGCTATTGGGTCAGAAGGTTACTAATGCAGTTCATAAAAATGAGTCTTAGGTCTAAGCTTCTGCATTTTTAAAAGCTTTGCTATTTGCCATAATTAAACTTATATGAGGGACTAATAAAAATAAACTCTCCAATAATATGGAAGCTGCTGATAAAATCAAGGACACATACGAGCAGTTACCCTATCATATTATATGAGTCAAACAGTATGAAGACTTGAAAACATTGTTTGTAGTCCTAGTATGCAAGAAACAAAATATTCCCAGAAGCAAAAAGTAAAAGTAGTTGTATAAGACCCTAGCAAGAATACCGAGTACCGTGCTGCAAGATGTGGTAAAGCCCCTAAAAATGACGAACAGAAAAATCTGTTTCATGAAAGGAAGCTAAGATATACTGGCCTATTCAGCCTAACATAATGCTTAGCCAGAACAAGTTTGCTTTCTATGAACGTGTTAGGAGAGGTAAATTCTCCCCCTGTACTTGGCACTGGTGAGGCCACACCTTGAGTACTGTGTCCAGTTCTGGGCCCCTTGCGACAAGAAAGACTTTGAAGGGCTGGAGCATGTCCAGAGAAGGGCAGTGAAACTGGGGAAGTGTGGAACACAAGTCCTGTAAGGAGTAGCTGAGTGAGCTGGTGTTGTTTGTCCTGGGGAAAAGGGGGCTCAGAGGTGACATCATCACTACAGTGACCTGAAAGGAGGCTGTAGAAAGGAGGATGTAGCCAGGTGGGGGTCAGCCTCTACTCCCAGGCAACCAGCGACAGGACAAGAGGCACAGCCTCAAGCTGCACCAGGGGAGGTTCAGGTCGGACATCAGGAGAAATTCCTTAGAAAGAGTATGTAAGCACTGCTGCCCAGGTAGATGGTGGAGTCACTATCCCTGGAGGTGTTCAAGAAACAACTGGACCATTGTCCTAGGTGGTGATCAGTCAAAAGCCGGACTTGACCTCAGAAGTCTTTTCCAACCTAAATGTTTCTGTGATTCTGTAAATTCTAGAGACAGATAAGAACTATATAAGATAACAGAAAATATTAGCTGATGTGTAAGTAGGTATGAAACGACCATGAATAAATTTCCAGTCAGAAATGAGATGGCAGTTATAAATCATCAAAATTTTGACACAGTCCCTCCACTGGCATAAAGATGCAGAAATTTAGCTAGCTTGAACAAGAAGCTTCTTTAATTTATACATTAGAAAATAAAACAAGAAGGAGATGACATTGTACACACAACATAAAAAAACCTAACACAATTCCAGTCTCATACAAACACATAAAATGCCAAAAATTTCCAGAGGATTTCAAGGCACACTGTAACTGCAGCATGACGATCTTCCAGGTTTTGTATAAAAACTCATCTTAAGCAACTTAACATCAATTTGTTATCTCATCAGACAGACACTAATAAAGAACACCTTTTATTGTTCCTCCAATGTTTAGTACAATCTGCTCTACACTGCCATGATTTTTAATTTGTCATACTGCTGGGTAGTCAAGCCCAGGCCCAACATATCAGGGCCACCTCTGTGTTTCTTGAATTCTGTCCTGCCCCACTGTGTAGTATTTTAATTAGAAGAGCAACTGCTTGTAAGAAACACAAGAACTGAAGTGCTGGGACTATTCAGTCAGTGAATAAAAATTGTTGGCTGCTGCAGGAATTAATTCATAAATTGGATAGAATATGGCAGCATTTCATGGACAGAGTAATTGCCCATCCTTCACTATTGTTCAGTCATGATGATCTGCAGCGGCATTTGAACTTCATGGAAAACATTGCTTTCCCAGAGCAGAAATGCAGTGTTCGTGCTTCCTTGCTTTCAAACATAAATGAATGTAAAAGATACTTGGATAGTGAGAAAAATGACTGGTCCCTAGAAGCTCAGAAATATTTATCAGCAGGCCATCATCTGTTTGATGCTGCAAAATTTTTAATGCAGACACCTGTTACTGATGTCTTCAGGGCCAGCTAGACAGAGCTATAACCCAAAAAAACATGCAAAAAGTAACCTGGGCATAACCATCAAATGGAATACATGAAGTACATCCCATTTGCTTCCCTCTCCTATGCATCCTTTTGGGTGTGAGACACATGAAAGACCACTTCTTTCCTGATTACACATTTGTTAGCACACCACGACTCCTTATAACATCAATTGATATCTTGCTGAAGGGAGCTCCAAACACACAGAGAAAACAGCTGTTCAGAGCAACTGAGGTCTAAGTGCCAAAGGCCTCCTTGCAGCAGTGATTGCTGAAGAACATGGGAAGTGACCTACTGAGGTGCAGCAATAATGTAGTTGCTTTCCAGAAATGACAAATAATTAAGGGGGAAGAGTTTGGGGCCCAAGAAAACAAAAATTAAAAATACAGAAACAGTGTGGCATTAACTATCCCAATACTTTTTGGCTCCTTGCCAATTCCTCTCTCTGGCTCATGTGTGTGAAGTATGCTCGTAATTCTCTGTGGAGCCTTTATTTTAGAATAGCATGAACCCTGCTGAGTACTCCTGAAGATAATTTTGGTGTGTATTCCACAGTATCCATTTTCAAGAGTCAGCAGCCCAGCCAGTTTTGTAGTCCAACCAATCAGCCAACTCAAACAACCTGCATTTGTGCTATTGTTGCTTTTCTGCTTTTATTATCATGTATCATAATATATGACAGATCTATTACTGTGCCGCTCAGTATACCTGTAAGAGTGTACGGAAATACACACATATTTGGTACAGCAAATGTATCCAAGAGCCTTTAATAGTGATGGAAGCCCATTTCCAAAACACAAGGATAATAGTGAAAAGCATATGCAAGGAGATCTTGTACTCTATGCAGCAGAACTTTTTCAATCAAAATGGTAGCTGCTGCATGAACTGAAGAACTGTGAAACTGTAAAGCAAGTACCACGTTTACTGAAGACTGAAATGCAGAGGGCAGGCATCCTACCTGTGACATAAATTTTCACCACAGATTTATTGTATGAAAGGAAGCGATTTACCATAGCAATAACATAAACAAGAAATCTTATTGTTAGGATCCAAGGCTAGTCGTGGATGAACAGAAAACTTTGTGGTATATACTACTTACACAGCTGAGAAGAAACTAATTGGTTACGTAAGGAGTGTTTCGCATCCTGGATGAAGGAGAAGCCTTATTGCTATTAAAACAATTATTAGTTTTATAGACAGCATTTCTCTATAACCACTTTGTACACCTGCAAAACCAGGTGTGTCTTCCATTAAGATACAATTACGCTTACCTGCTTCGAACAGAGTCGATTTTGTTACAGAACCGCAACAGCTGATATATTTAGCCACTGTTATTTAAATAAGGCCAAGATAATATTGTAGCCTTAACAAGACGTGATATAACTAGACGCGGTTTATGCAAATCCAGTAATAACACAAATACTACAGAGATAAAGCAGCTTCAGTGCTCGCTACACAGTTGTGCTGCGTGCTGAAAGACACCTTTTACGTGTGTGACACCGATTCATAAGCAGAATTTTTTAGCTATTTTCTCCCTCTGCCCTGACCCCGCAGTTCAGCCTGGCTGACCGGGGACGCTCCGCAGCCCGAGCGGTGCTCACGGGCGGCTGTCCGGGAACCCCCGCCGTGTCACGGGCCCCGCGACACCTCCCACCGCGGCCGCCCCACAGCGGGGCCGGGCGGCGCGGC